CTTTGCTATTCCATCTTGGTAATCCTCTCTTTAAATTAATTGTTTTAAATTGAAATTGTAATTGTAATTTTATGATTTTATATATTTTTATACTGTTCTGTTTTATTCTGTGAGCCGCCCCGAGTAGACATGGTCTAGAGGGGCGGGGTAAAAATCAAATAAATAAATAAATAAAAATACCGCCTTTTTCCATCTCTGGCAGATTGCTCGGCTGTGGACCTATCTCGACACGGGGGCACTCACCACCTTGGTGCATGCACTCGTAATCTCAAGATTAAACCACTGTAACACACTCTACGTGGGGCTGCCTTTGAAGCTGATGCGGAAACTTCATGTGGTGCAGAATGCGGCGGCCAGACTCCTTAATGGAGTGAGAAAATACCAACATATTTCTCCTACTCTGGCCGCATTGCATTGGCTGCCCATCCGTTTCCACATCGACTTCAAAGTTTTGATGCTCACATATAAGGCCCTAAATGGTTTAGGACCTCGATATTTGGCGGAACGCCTGCTCCCACCAAGCTCTACCCAGATCACGCATGCAAGTCAGGAGGTGAGGCTGAGGGGCCTGACACCCAGAGAGGCCCAGAAGGAAAAGACATGAAATATAAACAACTGAAGATAAAATGGGAAAGATTATAAGGAGATGAGATGATCAGGGAAGAGGAAGTGAAAAAGAAAAAGGGAGTGCTGCTATGGTGGGTGAGAATGAGATTTTCAAATATTTGTGCAGCCATTGCCTTTTCTCAAATCAGTGACAAGCTAGAGAGGGGGATTAAAATCCCAGTCATGATTTTTTTGCTTTCATTCTGGGAAGGTTTCTAGTGTACTGACACAAATTTAAATGCTGGTTAAAAACATACCCCGTTCAAGGAATGCATAATTTGAATAGATTTTTTTAAGCTTATTAATGATGAATAAGATCATCACTAAAATCTCAGTCTCTGATTCCTCTTCCTTGGCCATTACTCAGTGAGTATCTTTATGATTTTCCAAAGGTAGCAGAAATAAAGAGAGAAAATCAGTGATGGAATGAAAAATCGGTGATCCACAGGGTCCCCTCCAGTTCTGCAGTTCTAAGATGATGATGATGATCATCATCATCATCATCATCAACATCATCATCAATAGAAAATGTAGAAGATGACAAAATGGAAAATAAAAGGGCATCATCTTCCACAGTGCTGCCATGTATACACCACTGACACTCATCACTCAAGGGGTTCTTAAGCTACATGATGCATGTTTAATTTACTGTATAATTTAACCCTCAAAGTTTTGTCTTAGACACAGAATCAGTTCCCTTTCTCTTGCAACAAAATATTAGCTGGCTACTTATTTAGTTTCACAAAAATAGGATTCAGCCATTCCCTTTTTGTTACAGAATTCTAAATATGAGCTAATACTTGTGACACTTAACAGACACTCCAATTCTTCCATTCTGCCACCATTAGCTTGAAGGGGGTTCTTAAGCTACATGATGCATGTTTAATTTACTGTATAATTTAACCCTCAAAGTTTTGTCTTAGACACAGAATCAATTCCCTTTCTCTTGCAACAAAATACTAGCTGGCTACTTATTTAGTTTCACAAAAATAGGATTCAGCCATTCCCTTTTTGTTACAGAATTCTAAATACAGTATGAGCTAATACTTGTGACACTTAACAGACACTCCAATTCTTCCATTCTGCCACCATTAGCTTGAAGATGAGCCTAATGCAAAGCTTACAACATAGCCTAAATTGTTTCATTTGTTTTGTTCTAACATCCAGCCTGGTGGAGAGCTCTGGAGAGCTGGAAAGCTTGCGCACTTTCATGATATGCTGCTCAGTGCAACAAAGTTATTGCCCAGCAGTGGATTTTAGATACAGTACTGTTTTTAAGTTAAAGGAAAGAACTGCATTTGGAGCCTGGGAGTGAGGACTACTGACAGACATGTAGATTTAAATTAATTAATTAACGTCCTGTCTTTCCACCTCAAAACATGCTCAAGGCAAATTATGACAGACAAGCTGCAGTGACAGAACTTAACTGCATAAATTCTAGGATCAAAATCGCTTCCATTTACCACAAGAGTGAAAGCACTCATCAATTTACTCATCTGCCAGAGTTTGCCAGGTTTCAGGGTGTTTGCCTTCTGGAGACTCAGGGAATTGTTGTACTTTTTCGGACAAGGAGACAAATCTTAGTGGAAGTAGAACTACAGGAGGAGAAACTGTGGTTCCCATGTAAGCAATTGTTTTAAAACCCACGCGCTCACCTCCATTTACTCCTAGCTGGCACCAATGCTTGCTGGCTCACTATGCAAGTGTTTCCACATGAAGTATATTTGTAAAACAATATCACACTAAAAAGCCGGGAGTGAAAAGAGGGGACTTGAGAGAAAAGCAGTACGGAGCCTTTCTGCCCATCATGCCATATTGAGCAAGACGGGGGAATGTACATACCAGTGGAAATGTGTGCCCAGCCTCGGTATTCCTCGGGTTGGGGATTTGTTTATAAGGCTGGAGATGTATTCTGTGTCTGAATGTATTCTGTGTTTTTTGTGGTTGTACCAATGGAGACTCATTCAACTTCACTGCACACATATTGTGCCTTGACAATAAAGGTTGTTGTTGTTGTTGTTGTTGTTGTTGTTGTTGTTGTTGTTGTGCGCTACTAAGTCATAAAGCATCCAGGTTGCTTAGCAAGAGATCACTCTAACGAGGGGTGAAAAAGTATTGAAAAGTTGAAAACCAGCACAAGGAGTAGGTCAGGTACAGACATTGCCCTCAGCAGTTTGATCTGGATGAGACAGTTTTTATTAATTTGTCTCTGGCTTGGGTACCTGTATTCCTCAGCTGCATCTACTTAATAATTTCACATGAGTGGTTTGAACTTAGAAACATTGGCTTCACTTTTCTTGTGCTCTGTGATATCCTGATGGTTGCCATTCTCTCAGGTTCGGGGGTTATTTGTCTACCAAACCTCTATTGTTACCTGGAGGAGGGGCTCCTTGGCAAGCCCATGTTCTGCCTCAGTCTCCCATGTCAAGGAATATACTGCCAGTAGTAGCAATAACTAGCATTCATCACAATCACTTTTGACAGGTGCACCACCTCTGCAATGAGGCTGTACGATAGATATTGTGTAGTATTTTCCCCTGTGCAGCCATCTCAGCCATTAGCACAAATATGAACAAGGCATGGCACAATAACGGCTCTTTATTAAAAGACAGTATATTACAAGGGTATTGTAAAGCAAGCATCTAAGCCTCGGGGATAGTAGAAGTATGTGACATCTATATGTAGAAACATGCAATACAGAAGAAGTATGTGACATCTATATGTAGAAACACATGCAATACAAACTAGATTTACAGGCTGTATATTTATGCAGGGCATTTTCTTGTCCTTAGCAGCCCGATCCTCCAACGGTGCGTGAGAATCTAGATTTACAGGCTGTATATTCATGCAGGGTATTTTCTTGTCCTTAGCAGCCCGATCCTTCACCGGTGCGTGAGAATGAAACAATATTGTCTGCTGATTTCAGGTCAGATCTGTTTGGCCCATGTTCACAATCGCACTCAAGCCCATCATCCTCATCAGCCTTCTCCTGTGAGTGAGAATGAAACAACCCTTTAGTAAGGTTTTTTAAAGAGCTTAAAACTTCTAACATACCCCATAGCTTTTAGAAAATGCTCTTACCTGGCTGACTTGATGGTCCTCAGCACTCTCAAAGCCTTCATCTGAAACCTCTTCCACCATCTGATCCTCAGGGCTGTTGGCATCCCCCGCAAAGCCGGGTTTTGCCAGCACACAGCCATCCACATCCTCTGCTAGTTTTAGGGCATCGCCCGTTGGCTTCTGTAAAGCTCATTTTGACTATGGCCCACAATCACACTCAAGCCCATCATCCTTCTCATCACCCCACATCAGGGTGCAGGCCAGCTTTCTTGTGCTTTTCAGCTTCTGCTTTGGCGTTACAGTAAATACAAACATGTCTTCTGCAGAATTACAGTAAATACAAACATGTCTTCTGCAGCCGTGCATTTTCTTCTTAGATTTTCAGGGTCTTCAGGCAGCATCCCGCTGAGCCTTGTAGGGGGTCCTAAGGGGCACAGGGGCTTGGAAAAACCCACAAGCCCCTGGTAGTATCCTTGGGGGTGCAAGCTCCTTTTGGCTTTCACCAGGGCCTTTTAGCTTGTCCTGGGAATCAGGTTTTCCTTGTCCTCCATCTTCTCCAAGCCTCACCGGACTCTGCAAAGAGTGGCAAGCACATGCAGAAGGACCCTAAAATCACCGCTGTGGTGTTTCAGCAACCACTGTTGAGTTTCAGCCCCAGGGTGGCCATCCCTTTTCTAGCCAAACCCCTCCAATCTCTTCCCATTGGCCTACAGGGCCGCAGGGGGCAATCTCTTCCCATTGGCCTACAGGGCCGCGGGGGGGGGGCAACACGTCACTTTGGGGGCAATCCTGAGGCCGCACTCTGGTCACGGGGGATCTCTGCATCTATGAACCCCTCCTACAGGCCCACGGGGGACCCCCACATCTATGAACCCCTCCTACAGGCCCACAGTGGCCTCACCCACCCCCTACGTCACCCTAAAGCCCTGCCCACTCAGGAGGAGGGCCCTGGGTGGATTCTTGATCCTTTGTCCCACCTCGCTATGTGGGACAATGCTAGGTATTACTACTACTCCCATCCTGGTGCTCTTCTCTCATCTTGTGATAATACTGAGGTGAGACTACATGTTGCTTCATATGTTCACACTCCCTCTTCTCCTGTAGCTTTCACATTCATTCTCTCCTCAGATAGACCACAGTTCTATGCCAGTTCAGTCCGTGTAATGAAGAGTGGTAATACATTGTTTTTGCTCTCAGGATAATGGTAACTGTAACACAACCCATGTTCTCTCTAAGGTGCATGGGTGTGCAGAGCTCCATTGGCACCACACAGCAGGAGCCAGTGTCGATAACTGGATGAAACCCTGCCCCCCCGCATGCAGATAGGTGAGGTTCCCACACAGCAGAGATGACAATTAGAGGGAATATTGGTAACAATCATCTTCTGGCCCACAGAACTGAGTAACAGAATGAGTTACATTTGAAAAACAATGCTCAATGAGCTGTTTCTATGGAATTATTTGACCAGTGCCAATTGAAAGGAATATTGTTTTAGAATAGAATTTATCAAAAAATGTATGTGAGAAGGAAGAAAATGATGTTTTATTTTGTTTTTGTTTTTTTTAAATGAAGGGAGGATAAAGTGAAAATGAAATCAGAAAGAAGTGAAATGTAGGCAGGAGAAAATAAAATTGACACATGCTCTCATATCTGTAAATATATGCAAAACATTGAAAATTACAACTGTTTCATATCTGTTAATTAAGTTACCAGAAGGGATAGGCACAGAACAGGAGTTAGTTGCTTGCATTGTGCTCAACTCATGAGCTTCCCAAACCACACAGCTGAGTAGTTGGACGCAAAGGCTTGACTGACTCTTGGTGTGATCCAGCATAGGGAGTTATTTTATTCTTAAGGATTCTCATTCATTTTGCTGCTACTATGGCAATTCAGCCATTCCATTATTGTATTACTCCTCCTCATGAGAAACAATCTGGCCAAGCTAAAATAATCAATACAAAATATTCTCCTTATCTCTCATACCAACCAGATGTGACCCAAGGCATTTTGCTTCCTGAGTTGGGGAAGAAAATTCAGTCCCCATCAGTCATGTACCCAATAACCAGTAACCAATTTATCTTGGCATCTACGTCAGAAGATTCTACACACACTTCTCCTGCTCCCTGGCAGTAAAAAAACTACAGCAAAAATCTTCATCCTGGGACATCTATTTGTGAGTGTTAGGGCTGGCTCTATTACTAAACCAGCTCATAATTTAAGGGAACAAAAAAAAAATCTGGCAGCAGTTACATCCTTGTATTTAGTTCCACTTCCCTACAGTGCTTCACTCTTCTGTCAAAAAGCATTCTTAAAGACCTAATACTCACCACAGATCCTGTTTTGGTTCACCTGGCCTTCAAAGAGATGTGCCAGCATTCCTCTGGTTTAAAACAACATTGGCACTAAAACAATTGGCATGGAATAGCCACATAATCTTCTTAACGTTTCTTCAGTCTTATAGCAGTACAGTTTCCGACCAAGTTCCTGTCATATAAAAGTAGAGGAGCACATTCACAGATCAGACCCTGAGGTAAACAGCTGCCATTTGCAGGCAGCACACTACCGGGGCTTGACCTCTCAGCTATTAAAGTCAATTATAACATTCTCATTAAGTTAAACAGGAAGAGGCCTGGAACACAGCCTACTGCCAAGTAGCCCCAAGACACCAGAAAGTAAGTGCTGTCGGCAAGCTAATCAACCTGAAAATGTGGATGCACAGGAGTGAACATATATGTCACAAGGACATTACAACAGGAGTCAGTGTTGCTCTGTGGTATGCCCAGGTGATTCTCTCTAAAATGGCTCCTGTGATAAAATCCTGACTGATTACCCTGACAGCTGGTTGCCTTGTCTTAATCTTGAGAGCACCTGTAAGTTCCAAGTAACAGTACTTGGAACTTAGAGGATATAATTAAAATAAATCTGGATAGATTAAAAAAGAGAGATAACTGGAAGGATAAAAGATTATCAGAAATTAAAGATTTCTTGGTTTGGTAGAGTGGTATTATGCAAACTGAAAAATATTTCTAAATTAAATTTTATATTTTGGATGCTTCCTATAAAGATTACAGAAAAACAACTGAAAGAATAGCAGCTAATGATAAATTGTTATTGCAATAGAAATAAACAAGTGAGGCTTAATAAGAAATTATGATATGTAATACAAAAAAGGGAGGTCTTGGATCATCCAATTTAAAATTATTGTTGTTGTTTAGTCGTTTAGTCGTACCCGACTCTTCATGACCCATGGACCAGAGCACACCTGGCCCTCCTGTCTTCCACTGCCTCCCAGAGTTGGGTCAAATTCATGTTGGTAGCTTCGGTGACACTGTCCAACCATCTTGCCCTCTGTCGTCCCCTTGTCCTCTTGCCCTCACACTTTCCCAACATCAGGGGCTTTTCCAAGGAGTCTTCTTTTCTCATGAGATGGCCAAAGTACTGGAGCCTCAGCTTGGGAATCTGTCCTTCCAGTGAAGCACTCAGGGTTGATTTCCTTCAGAATTGATAGGTTTGTTCTCCTTGCAGTCCAGGGGACTCTCAAGAGCCTCCTCCAACAGCACAATTCAAAAGCATCAATTCTTCAGCAGTCAGTCTTCTTTATGGTCCAGCTGTCACTTCTGTACATCACTACAGGAAAAACCATAGTTTTGACTATGCAGATCTTTGTTGGCAAGGAGGTGTCTCTGCTTTTTAAGATGTTGTCTAGGTTTGTCATCACTTTCCTCCCAAGAAGCAGGCATCTTTTAATTTTGTGGCTGCCGTCGCCATCTGCAGTGATCATGGGGCCCAAGAAAGTGAAATCTGTCACTGCCTCCATATCTTCCCCTTCTATTTGCCAGGAGGTGATGGGACCAGTGGCCATTATCTTAGTTTTTTGATGTTGATCTTGAGACCATTTTTTGCACTCTCCTCTTTCACCCTCATTAAGAGGTTCCTTAATTCCTCCTCACTTTCTGCCATCAGAATGGTATCATCTGCATATTGCAGGTTGTTGATATTTCTTCCGGCAATCTTAATTCCAGTTTGGGATTCCTCCAGTCCAGCCTTTCACATGATAAGGGAAATAACTAGATTAAATATTCAAATGTCCCTTTCAATGGCTTTATTGAATTTGGTCAAGAAGGATCAATTGTTGAAAGATAATAAGGACTTAATAGTAATAATGATTACGGCCGCAAGGTTAATTTTTGCAAGAAACTGGAAAAATGATAACCAGCTCAGTTTATAGGAATGGTATAGACAACTATGGGATATGGCAATTAATGACAAACTGACGTGCTATGAAAATAAGAAGAGGCCTATCAAAAATAGTGATTTTAAGAAAATATGGAGTGTATTCTTGGAATATGCATTTCTGAGAGGGAAGGGGTATACACTGAGGGAAGTTTTGGAGAGAAAATGGACTGAATGAAATTAAAATTATTAAACTTCCAGTCTTATCATGGCTTCTGCCAACCTTTTCCTTGCACTTCGTCTTTGTTGGTTCCCTCACCTAAAAATCACATTAGCAACAATGCCGAAACTTTTTAATTTTATTTTTTTTTTCCTCTCAAATACCGCACAAGAGAGACAGGGAACAGTGTAACCTCTTGTGTGCAGGATATTTACTGCTTTAGGGCACAATCTGTTGCTGCAGAGTTCTAACTGTTGCTGAAGCACTTAGTGTCATTATATGCGCCTTGGCAACAAGGCGTTCTGTCTTGTTTTTCATCTGTGAAGGTGGTGATTTATTGATAATACTAATCTTGTTGGAGAGTTACAGAGCTAGCAAGTCAAAGCCTTGGCAACAAGGCGTTCTGTCTTGTTTTTCATCTGTGAAGGTGGTGATTTATTGATAATACTAATCTTGTTGGAGAGTTACAGAGCTAGCATGTCAAATGTGTTTAAAGACAGAGAGGAAAAAAAAACCTTGCATACCCAACTTTTTTTCCATAGTTTTCTATAGGGAGGAAAACGTAACTCCTCTATCCCTTTGGTAATTCCTACCTCCTGTCTACAGATGTATGAGCCAGTTTAGTCCTAATCTGCGCCATTTATTTATTTTATTTATTTACAAGAATTTTAGCCATGCCATTACCAGTGCTCTCTGAGCGGCTTTGGAATGTGTTCATTTATAAATCCATTCTGTCCTGACCCCCAATTATTCTTCAATTTATAAAGAAACTGCACAAAATCATATATAACAAAGTACTTTATCCTAAATTATGTATTCTTATGTTGCTGTGCAAACTCTTTGAGCAGATAAGAGTGATATTTCTAAGAGACCACTCTTCCAGTCCTCAAATCTCCCTGAGAAGTTTCTAAGAGACCACTCTTCCAGTCCTCAAGAATTGGAGGTCAAGTCAATTCTTATTAGAATTCCCACAGAATAAATTAGATAAGCATCCCATGCTTTTGCACCATCCCATACTGTTCCTGTACATTGAGACACCATATTGGACTGGTATATGGTAAAGGAAGTTGTAATGAGAAAGAGGTAAAAACAGAATATATCACCCTCCTCCCCAATAAAGGCTGTGAATTGTACAGCTTCCTGAAGATACCTAAGTCAATTTCATCATAGCAAAACAATCACAAGTCAGGAAACAGAATATGATTTGGAATGCATGCTCTTAGCAGTTCAGCTGTCTGACAGGGCTTGGTTGGAAACATAGCTGTACAGGGTGGGGTTATGAAAGGAGCTGGACACAGCTAGATTAACAATGAAATCAAAGAGTGCTGGATGTGAAATATATTCAATTCATTAAAACACCTCTGGTTTATTAATGTGGGAGACTGTTCTTCTGTACCCTTGATTCAAAATGCCAGAAAATGGCCCTTTGCCAGCAGGGAAGGATAGCAGGCTTTACCTAGCAAATGGCAGCCTGAATATTGATGACACCAATGTCAGCAGTCAAGATGGTCTACAGCAGAGGGTCCCCAACCCCTGATCTATGGCCCCATGCTGGTCTGTGGGCTTCCTGGAACCGGGCCGCAGAGACGGATCTCCATCCCACCTGCATGCACGGTGGGCATGTCCCCCACAGAGCCCACACCCCCAACCGGTCTACGGACCCAAAAAGGTTGGGGACCACTAGTCTACAGGATTCCCTCTTCTGCTCACTATCATTAACAAAGATGCACCAAGCAAGAGAAAATCCAAGAACATGATTCCTCTCTGCATCAGTTAACCACTCCTCATCCAAATACAAAGCAATTTTCAAAACTGCTCTTTAGCAGGTTTTCTAGGTATCTGTTGCTTTGAAAATACAGATGATCATCTCATGTTCTGGTGAAACCTATGCTTTTGGGGGGCAATTGATAGGGACTTATAAGTCCAGATGATCAGTCACACTTACAAGTGAACTCACTGTTGATTGATTGCAGAAGTGTATGGATAGAGGTAGCTTTGATTTTATATTCAAATCTTGGATTTTGCATATTAAAGTATGGAGGTCTTTCTTCCTATCTACATCAGGAACCTTCCTTCTCTTTGGCGAAGGATGGAATTCAGCTGAAAATCTTTGCTGCTGCTCTAGTTTTTGAATATGAGATACTGCCAATATTTGAAACACAAGATAAGGATTCATGAATTCTGATATTAAGAAGGAGGTTTAGAGAATAAGTGGCAATATTTGCTGGTCCATTCAATTTGATGTAAAGCAGCAAATCAATCAAACCTGTGTTCCCACCAAGGGCTGAAGAGGAGGAGGAGAGGAGCACACTTTGACTGGTGAGTGGGCCATTGGCCAGGGAGGTGGGGGAAGGGAACATGCAGCACCTGTGGTGCTGTGCATACAAACCAAGATGACCCTCAAACCAAGGTTTCTGCTCATCTCTAATTTGAACCATTCTGCCTGAAGTTGGATCTCTTGCCAGTTTGAAGGAACTGTTTTCTCTCCCTTTAAAGCTCAGGAGAATGTGAGCTAAATAGGAAGCTTTTAGATTGGAAGAATACTGGCCGGTATGTCTAGTTTGTTAGCTTACTGGTTTGCCTACTTTGCCTTATAGCCTGTGTCACACATTTTTGTTGTAGTTGGAGTTACAAACAGTTCCAACAACAATAAAAATCACAGTCACCCTGAACACACCCAGTCTTGTCTGATCTCAGAAACTAAGCATGGTCAGGCCTTGGCAGTACTTGACTGAGAAATTACTAGAAAACAGGAAGAGCCTCCAGGTACGTCTAGGAAAAGAACTCTTCCTCCAGCTCCAGAGAAGATGCAGCAGCTAGTCCAAATCAACATTCCTGAGCTAGATGGACCAATGGCGTGAATCAGGTCAAGTTGACTCTTTCCCTGATATTATTCTTGCAGTAGCAAAATATCTCCCTTTTTGTACTGTCTTTTAACAATTCAAGACAGCTGAATTCTAAGGATGAGTTGGAGTTACAAACAGTTCCAACAACAATAAAAATCACAGTCACCCTGAACACACCCAGTCTTGTCTGATCTCAGAAACTAAGCATGCTCAGGCCTTGGCAGTACTTGACTGAGAAATTACTAGAAAACAGGAAGAGCCTCCAGGTACGTCTAGGAAAAGAACTCTTCCTCCAGCTCCAGAGAAGATGCAGCAGCTAGTCCAAATCAACATTCCTGAGCTAGATGGACCAATGGCGTGAATCAGGTCAAGTTGAATCTTTCCCTGATATTATTCTTGCAGTAGCAAAATATCTCCCTTTTTGGACTGTCTTTTAACAACTGAAGACAGCTGAATTCTATCTATGGATCTTCTACATCTTTTGCTTTTCCTGGAGTCTTTGTTTTTCCAAGTGGTTTTTAAATCATTGTTTTG